ACCCTTACTTCTCTTATTCATCATGTTTCCCCAGTTCTGTGGGTGCTGGGTCATTGCTGTGCTGTTCTCATGTGCACTGACTGCTTCCAGAATGAGGGAGAGAAGGTCTGAGGGCTGGGGTTGCAAAACCCCGGCTCAGGGGGGCGGAGGAGGTTACATCAGCTCCCGTGGATGACTCCATGGGCTAAAACTGAAGATTAAGCAAATCAGCCTCCAAAAAAGGGCTTTTCCAGCTCTTGGCCTGAGTAAGTGGGAAAAGGACCACAGTTTGAGATTTTTTTCGGGGGAACGACTGAGGGAAGATACGTGGTTTCAGTGCGGTTTTGATTCGTGTGTAGAGATGAGTGAGCATCTCATCAGCAGAAGGAGCATCCCTGCATTTTGCAGGGCGGTTGTAAACCTTGGGCGTTTGTGAGTGTGGCCCCGGGGTTTTGAGTTTTCATCGGGCATGTTTCCAGGGCTGCCCTGGTGGCTCTGCGGCAGAGGAGCCGGATGTCACTTAGACGTGAAGGGAGTAGGGGTTCCCGGCTGCGCGGCTCCTGCAGCCGAGGCCAGAGTGGCCTTCCCTCCATCTTCTCTTCCTCACCCACATGAGGAAGGGACGAGAGGAATGGGCGGCACCCACCCGCCCCTCTGTGTCAGCTTCCCTGGGAATCAGGCTCCTGACCTCTTCTGTGCATCGTAAAGCAGAAGCTTGGTCTCTCCCACCCTCTTCCTTCAGAAATTATAGGAACCCATTCTGGGCAGGCCTGCCCTCCAAAACCCTGATTTCCTTGCCCTTTTCTTCATGCCCTCCCTTTCCTCCCATGCGGGACCCAGCCATGTGGACAGAGGGGAGGACCTGGGGCTGTGGGCACTGCCTGCTGCAGAGCTGGGGCCTGAGTGGCTCCAGGTGATCCGGGGACTGTCACGTGGCCTTCGGTGCCAGCACAGGGCTGTCTGCTGACAGTACGGTGTGGGCATTAAGGGAAACATACAGATTCCGACAAGCCCTTGTGTCTGATTTGGTATCTGGCTGCTCAAACCTTCCTGAGCCTACCGGGATCTCTTATCCAACCTGCCCAAACAAAGCAGAGTTTTGCCTGATTTTCTGCCTGAGTTTGTCTGAGTTCCTCCTGAGACCCCACGGGGAAAACAAGCAGCTCCGTTAAATCAGGACTCGGAAACTCTGGGGTCCACTGGAACTGACGTGTAAAATCACCTTCACACTCCCCCAATCTGCACGGCTAGCATTTTCATAGAAAATGTGACCACCAAGTGAACCCTAGAGCTTTCGAAGACAGCATCGTAAAAGCATTTATAAAGGCTTCAGGGCTGGAAATGTGGGGAAAACAGAGCAATAACAAATATTAGAAAAACCCGGTCGTGAAGGCAAAGGCTGGATTTGATTCACACGCCCCTGAAGGACCAGCAGGGCCTGTCCTGGCTGCCCCACGTTCGAACTCCAAGTACATTCAGTAAACAGGACACAGAGCCACCTACGCCTCCTGGGTGAGCCCTGCTTCCCCGGGGATGACACCACCGTGCACCCTGCTGCTGTGTGCACACAAGTGAGGCAGGCTTGGGGCAAGAGCGGCCCAGGCAGGAGATGGGGCTGGAAGGACTCTGTTCCTAGGTCAACTTGGACCTGAGAGGGACTGCAGGCGAGCTCTTTCCACACTAACAGCGACGGCTACCTCGTCAGCTGCACACGTGCCATGCTGTACACTCTCAGGGTGCTTCAGACAGCTCACCCTGGAGCCACGTGGCCTTAGGGGTGCCGACCTCTCTCACAGTCAAAACTCATGCATAGCTTTGACTCCCCAAAAACTTAAGTATGTCTGGCCTAGTGTTGACCAGAAATCTCACCAATAGCATAGTCAATTAATACATATTTTATCTGTGTTTATATGTTTATATTTTGTAGGTGTGTTATATGCTGTATTCTTTTTTTTTTTTTTTTTTTAAGAAAGAAAGAGAAAGAGAAAGAGGGAGAGAGAACAGAAGTCTTGCTCTATTGTCCAGGCTGGAATGCAATCTAAAAATAGGTATTAATAACCTCTTTTATGCTGATAATTGTGCTTAACAGTGGAGACAGGAAGGAATAAGGGAAGAAAATACAAACAGCCAACCAATATTTCATTTAAGTCTGTGAAACGCTATGCAAATGCTGAAGAGTGATTTACTTCCAATTATGTAGTCACTTTCAAAATAGGTGTAATGTGATACTGAGAAAAATGTATGTTCTGTGGACCTGGGGTGAAGAATTCTATAAATATTCACTGAGTTTATATATGCTGTATTCTTACAATAAAGTAACTAGAGAAGAGAAAATGTGATTAAGAAAACTGTAAGGAAGAGAAGATGTGTTTACTAGGCGTTAGGTGGGGATGAACCATCATACCGACCTCCATCCTCACAGTCTTCACGTGGGGCGCACTGCGGAGGAGGAGAGAGGCTGAATTTGCTGCCTCAGAGGTGGCAGAGGCGGGACAAAATCCACCTGTAAATGACCCATGCAGTTCAAGCCATGTTGCTCGAGAGTCAGCTGTATATTATATGTATAGTTAGAATATATTTTATATATGTTATGTCCGTATTATGTACATGTTATATGCATTTATATTGTATATTTATGTATTATAGTATCAATATTTTGATGTTTACATTTCTACAGATATGAATATTTAGTAAATAAAATCTCTTATGCATCTATGTATAGTCTCTTAATTTCACAACAATGCAGAAGAGTTTGACAGAGGAGGAGCTGAGGTGAGGAGTATCCATCCTCGCTGAAGCCTGGCTTCCAGCAACAGAGCCACCCCCAACCTCGAGGGTCTCTGACTTTGCAGGCCACGGAGTATCCCCTTGTGAAGGGTTTTAATTGGAAATTAATGAGACACTAGCGATCTGTATTTTGGACATGTCATACTGAGAGGTCTGTTCAGGATAACTTTAGGAGACAAGAAGGAATTTCTGCTCACTGTGAGGACGCTGCCAAGTGAGCCCAGGTTGGCGAGAACCACGTGAACAGCACAGCGGGGCAGCGCTAGCTGACAGTCACCTCTAAGGGGAGAAAGGGGTGGGCCAGCTGACAGTCACCTCTAAGGGGAGAAAGGGGTGGGCCAGCTGACAGACACCTCTAAGGGCAGACAGGGGTGGGCCAGCTGACAGCCACCTCTAAGGGGAGACAGGGGTGGGCCAGCTGACAGTCACCTCTAAGGGCAGACAGGGGTGGGCCAGCTGACAGTCACCTCTAAGGGGAGACAGGGGTGGGCCAGCTGACAGCCACCTCTAAGGGGAGACAGGGGTGGGCCAGCTGACAGTCACCTCTAAGGGGAGACAGGGGTGGGCCAGCTATCAGCCACCTCTAAGGGGAGACAGGGGTGGTGAGCTTCCACCACCTGGGACTGAACTATCTAGACAGCCTCTGCTGCCCAGCGCCGGGTACTGGCGTGCGCCGGGGACCAGGCATGGTGAGAATTCCGCCTTCTCTGTTCTGCTAACACGTCTGTGCTTCATTCAGAGCACGGCTTTCTGGACTGCACCTTAAACAAACCTCCACTCAGCGGGTCATTCAGAAACTGTCAGTTAGAAAACCAAAAATAAATGACCAGCCATTAAAATATATTCTGAAATCTCCCAGTCTCCAGAGAGAGCACAGGCAAAATTTTAATCGTCCCTGCTTCTCTCTTCCTGTCGTCCCCGTGTCTCTCTCCCGCTCCTCCCCGCGTCTCTCTTCCTCTCCTCCCTGCTTCTCTTCCTCTCGTCCCCGCGTCTCTCTTCCTTCCGCTCGTCCCCGCGTCTCTCTTCCTTCCGCTCGTCCCCGTGTCTCTCTTCCTTCCGCTCGTCCCCGCGTCTCTCTTCCTTCTGCTCGTCCCCGTGTCTCTCTTCCTTCCGCTCCTCCCCGCGTCTCTCTTCCTCTCCTCCCCGCTTCTCTTCCTCTCCTCCCTGCTTCTCTTCCTCTCGTCCCCGTGTCTCTCTTCCTTCCGCTCGTCCCCGCGTCTCTCTTCCTTCCGCGCTTCTCTTCCTCTCGTCCCCGTGTCTCTCTTCCTTCCGCTCGTCCCCGCATCCGTCTTCCTTCCGCTCCTCCCCGTTTCTCTCTTCCTCTCCTCCCCGCTTCTCTTCCTCTCCTCCCTGCTTCTCTTCCTCTCGTCCCCGTGTCTCTCTTCCTTCCGCTCGTCCCCGCGTCTCTCTTCCTTCCGCTCGTCCCCGCGTCTCTCTTCCTCTCCTCCCCGCTTCTCTTCCTCTCCTCCCCGCTTCTCTTCCTCTCGTCCCCGTGTCTCTCTTCCTTCCGCTCGTCCCCGCGTCTCTCTTCCTTCCGCTCGTCCCCGCATCTCTCTTCCCTCCGCTCATCCCCGCGTCTGTCTTCCTCTCCTACCCGTTTCTCTCTTCCTCTCCTCCCTGCTTCTCTTCCTCTCGTCCCCGCGTCTCTCTTCCTTCCGCTCGTCCCCGCGTCTCTCTTCCTCTCCTCCCCGTTTCTCTCTTCCTCTCCTCCCCGTTTCTCTCTTCCTCTCCTCCCCGCTTCTCTTCCTCTCCTCCCTGCTTCTCTTCCTCTCGTCCCCGTGTCTCTCTTCCTTCTGCTCGTCCCCGTGTCTCTCTTCCTTCCGCTCGTCCCCGCGTCTCTCTTCCTCTCCTCCCCGCTTCTCTTCCTATCCTCCCTGCTTCTCTTCCTCTCGTCCCCGTGTCTCTCTTCCTTCTGCTCGTCCCCGTGTCTCTCTTCCTTCCGCTCGTCCCCGCGTCTCTCTTCCTCTCCTCCCCGCTTCTCTTCCTATCCTCCCTGCTTCTCTTCCTCTCGTCCCCGTGTCTCTCTTCCTTCCACTCGTCCCCGCGTCTGTCTTCCTCTCCTACCCGTTTCTCTCTTCCTCTCCTCCCTGCTTCTCTTCCTCTCGTCCCCGTGTCTCTCTTCCTTCCGCTCGTCCCCGCGTCTCTCTTCCTCTCCTCCCCGCTTCTCTTCCTCTCCTCCCCGCTTCTCTTCCTCTCGTCCCCGTGTCTCTCTTCCTTCCGCTCGTCCCCGTGTCTCTCTTCCTTCCGCTCGTCCCCGCGTCTGTCTTCCTCTCCTCCCCGTTTCTCTCTTCCTCTCCTCCCTGCTTCTGTCTTCCTCTCCAGCCTGGCACTGCTGCTTGCTTACACCTGTGTTTCTCTTCCTCCCTTCCCAGGGTCCCCTTCTGCCCTTTTCCACTTCTCTCCTGCTTCTCCATGCTTTGCTGTCCATGGTGAATCTGTATATTCTTGCTTTCGTTTTGTCCACCACCCCAATTCTCTACAACAGGAGTCCCTGACCCCGGCCACAGACAGGTCCGTGGCCTCTTAGGAACCGGCCGCACAGCAGAGGTGAGCGGGGCGAACCAGCAAAGCCTCGTCTGTATTTACAGCTGCTCCCCTCACTCACATGATCACCTGAGCTCCCCTCCTGTCAGATCGGCAGTGGCATTAGCATCTCATAGGAGCTGAACCCTACTGTGAACTGTGCGTGTGAGGGATGTGGGCTTTGTGCTCCTTATGAAAATCCAATGCCAGAAGATCTGCACTGTCCCCCACCCCCCCCCAGATGGAACCGTCTAGTGCAGGAAAACAAGCTCTGGGGTCTCACTGATTCTACGTTATGGTGAGTTGTATGACTATTCTGTGATATATTACAGTACAATAAGAATAAAATAAAATGCCCAATAAATGTAATGTGCTTGAATCACCCCTAAACCATCCCCTCACCCCTGGTTCATGGAAAAACTGTCTTCCACAAAAGTGTAATTGGTCCCTGATGCCAAAGAGGGTGGGGGCCGCTGCTCCACAGAGCTGAGGAAGTGATCAGGCTGAGACAGATGGAAAGCAGTGAGCACACATGTTTGTGTGTGTGTGGGGGGGGGTTCCACAGCAGGGAAGAGCGACTGTCACGTGTTTGTGGGGGGTTCCGTGGCAGGGAAGAGTGGCTGTCACGTGTTATTCTGTGCACTCCAATATGGTTTGAATCCTTGTTTATTAAGAACCCATGATGCATTGTGTATGCAATCACAAATACTCAAAATTGACAAAATAAATTAAGTAAATAATATGCAAATTAGGGAATAAACGCAAAGCTATTGATGCGTTTCTGATGTATAAATTTTGCACCCATATTAAATTACAGTTTCCATAAGAGCAAAGTTAAAGTAAGCTCCCACCTGTTCTGTCAACTGAACCTTCATTTTCTCACCTCTGTGCCAGGCACCAGGACTGCTCCCTGAGTGGGCAGAAAACCAGGGCATCCAGCTGCAGTGACAGGAGGCAAGGCAGAGACCCACAGGGTGCAGGGAGCTGGCTTTATAAGGCACACAGGAGCTGCAGGTGCTTTGTTAAGAGCCAAAACTGGCACAATTTGAGAAGCAAAATGAAGTTATTGAATCATCACCCAAAGTAAAAAATAAATGTACAAGTCCACACTGACATAAACAAATTACAAGATAAATTAGAAATGGGAGAGAACGACCAGCTCCCCATGCATGGGACTTCCAAGTAATCCAGGCCAACATGCCGCTTTATGGGTGGTGCGAGACTCCTTGCTCCATCCCCGCGGTCTGGGCACAGCAGCTCCCTCCCGAAGAGGATGGTTTGGAAGCAGCACAAAGGATGGACCTCACCATGGAGGAAGCTGAGCACTGACTCAGCTGAGTCCAGGACAGCAGTGGCGGGTGAGCCAGGCTGCGTGGGCCTCAGACTCTGACGGAGGTGCACCTTCACCTCCGTGCCCTTTCTCCAAAGGACATGTAACTTCAGTCTAACCCCGGGGAAAACGCCAGGCAAATCCCAGTGGAGGGAAGTCCTACAAACACGTGACAAGTGCTCCTCAGAACTGCCAGGGCCACCAGGATCAAGCAAAATCTGAGAAACTCACAGCTGAGAAGGAGCCAAGGAGGCACGACCCACCCTGAGAGGCTTCAGGTGAAACCCTGAAAGAGGAGGGGCCTCAGGTAAGAACGAAGGAGGTCAGAGCACAGACTTCAGTTGGTCAGACTGCACCAGCAGTCTCCATCAGCTGTGACGAATGAGCCACACTGACATAAGATGATACCCAGAGGGGGAGCTAAGTTGGTCATGCAGCTGGATGTGATTTAAGATGATAAACGGAATAGAATAAACAGGTGGAGGCCCAGTGCATGGCCCACGCCTGTAATCCCAGTGCTTTGGGAGGCCAAGGCATGTGGATCACTTGGGTCAGGAGTTCGAGACCAGCCTGACCAATATGGTGAAACCTGTCTCTACTAAAAATACAAAAACTAGCCAGATGTGGTGATGGTGCCTGTAGTTTCAGCTATTTGGGAGGCTGAGACAGGAGATTTGCTTTAACCTGCGAGGCAGAGGTTGCAGTGAGCCGAGATCTTGCTATTGCATTCCAGCCAGGTGACAGAGTGAGATTCTGTCTCAAAAAAAAAAAAAAAAAAAAAATAGGCAGACTCTGTCTCAAAAATAAAAAAAAGAATAGGCAGATGGGCTGTAAAAACTCAGAATTACCTTTGCAGTTTTCCTGAAAATCTGAAACTGTAAGCATAAAACTATTGATAAAGTTAAAGGTTTATTAAAAATTCTGGAGGGAAGCAAATACAAAGACATTTCACAGCGTGGAGCAATGATGGATTTGTTTCGTTACAAACAACACGACCCACAAGACATGGAATGATGTCTTTTAAGTGTTAGAAACCAAATATACTATGTCCATATATGATGAAAATATTCTTCAAAAATAAAGGCAGAATAAAGATATTTTCAGATGATCAAACGCTGAAAGAATGTGTTGGCAACTGTACCACACTGGAATTCCTAAAGAAAGATTTTCAAGCTAAAGGGAAATGGAAACTTGGATTTATAAAACTATTGGAAATTGTAAAAATCTGGATCAGTATAAGCGACTTTTTTTGTCATTAATACCTTTAAAAGTTGACTAATTCTTTAAAGTACTATAATGTATAGTAGGACCTATCATGTATGTTGATTTAAGAGATATAATCTACAGTAACACAAAGGATGAAAGAAGATAAATGTTATTTTACCATTGAAAGGATTTTGCATCATATGTAGATTAGTTCAAGTAAATTTTAATTAGTGATGCATATTTATAAACCCTATAGCAATATTAAAATATAATGTGAAGAGTTAGTTATACAAACACAATAGAGGTGTAAACCAAAAATAAAATTCTAAGGCCCCCTCAACCATCTGAATGGACTTCCTTCTCGGCTGGGGTGCAGTGGCACCATCTCAGCTCCCTGTAACCTCTGCCTCCTGGATTAAAGCAGTTCTCCTGCCTCAGTCTCCCAAGTAGCTGGGATTATAGGCACCTGCCACCACACCAGGCTAATTTTTGTATTTTTAGTAAAGATGAGGTTTCACCCTGTTGGCCAGCCTGATCTCTAACTCCCAATCTCAGGTGATCCACCTACCTCGGCTTCCCAAAGTGTTGGCATTACAGGCATGAGCCATTACACTCCCAGCCAGGGCACTCTTAAAATGTAACCTGAAAGGCCATCTCAGGGAATTGGGGTTTGGACATGCCTCACTGTACCTCTCTGGTGTTAATGCTGCTGTGTTGCCAACACACCACAGTGTTTCAGTCATGTTGTCTGGGGTAGTATCCAGAGTTCTTTGTCTCCTGACCAAGAAGATTGAGGAGCATGGACACAAGGGTGAAGTTGGAGTGAAAGTTCAGTAAGTGAAGAAGAAAGTTCTCCACAGCAGAGAGGGGGCCCAAAAGAGGATTGCCGTTTTTACAGTTAAATACAAAAGCTTTTATAAGAAAAAACTGCCCTCATGTCTGTGGCTGTCTGTGTGACGTCCCTTCTCTGTGCAGTGGTTGTCCACGTAACTCTCCTTACCCGTGCAGCTGCAGGCATGTCTTACGTAACCACAAAGTGTAGCTTCTCCTGTTTGTGGAACTGTGGGTATGTTTTAGGTAAGTCCCCTCCTCATGCAACTTCCCAAGGAGACCACCATGTGCATGCCTGGAAAGGGGAGGAAGCTTTTTTCTGGGAGGCTGGGATTACCTAAAGGACAAAGGCTTCTATGCTGTGCCTCGCTCCCTTATCTGTGTGGCTGCAGCCCGAGTTCTCCCCATGCTGCTCTTTCTGTGCCTGCAGCTGTGCTTTTCTGGCCTTTTCTGTTTAAAAGGGTTTTGTCAAAGGCCAGCTTTAGCTGTCGGTCCAACTCATTTTTCCTTTCCTCCTCCCTCATGAACATCAACACAGATAAAACACATTTTTCAACCTATTCCCTCTGAAGCCTCCCACCTGAAAGCTTCCTCTGAAAATAAGAACTTTGGTCTTCACAGCTTCCTTTATCTTAACCCAGACATTCCTTTCTTTTTTCTTTTCTTTCTTTCTTTTTTTTTTTTTTTTTGACACAGAGTCTTGCTCTGTCACCCTGGCTGGAATGCAGTGGTACAATCTCGGCTCACTGCAATCTCCGCCTCCCAGTTTCAAGTGATTCTCCTGCCTCAGCCTCCTGAGTAACTGGGATTACAGGTATGCACCACCACACCTGGCTAAGTTTTGAATTTTTAGTAGAGACGGAGCTTCACCATGTTGGCCAGGCTGGTCTGGAACTCCTGACCTCAAATGATGTACCTGCGTGGGCCTCCCAAAGTGCTGAGATGACAGATGTACACCACCTTGCCCAGCCCCAGACATTGCTTTCTATTGATCTCAGGTCTTCAGATAAACTCAACCACTTGTTAACCAATAAATTTTTGAACCCACCTCTAAGCTGGAAGCCCCGCTTCAACTTGCCCCACCTTTCTGGCCCAAACCAATCTATTTGACGTCTCATGTCTCTCTAAAGTGTATAAAACCAAGCTGCCCCCCGACCGCTTTGGGCACATGTTCTCGGGGCCGCCTGAGGGTTGTGTCACGGACCATGGTCACTTATATTTGGCCAAGAATAAATCTCTTCAAATATTTTACACAGTTTGATTCTTCTTTGACAGAGGAGTTAAACTGCCACCTTAAAGAAAAAAAAAAAGTCTTACTTAATCCAAAGTAAGACAGGAAAAAAGGAAGCGAGAATAAAAGAACAAAAGACTTAATAGCCGATGATACAAGATGGTGGACAGGGCAGGGGAGTGTGCGGGCGGAGGAAGACTGGGCAGCAGGAAGACAGGTGGCTGCGAAGGAGAAGAGTGTGTGGCAAGAACCGTGGACACACAGCAAACATCAAAGCCCAGCAAAATAGAGAGGCACGGAAACCACCCCTGACATCCACTGTCCTTCCTAGACATCCCCACAGTGGGGCAGCATTCTCAGTTATTAACATGCCAGTTACGTGAAGAAATTGCTCTGAAGTCAACGGCAGGTTGTCCAGTTAAGGAACGAGAGGAACTAGACATGATTTTTAGTATCATTGGTTTTCATTTGGCTCAACTGCACCAAGGCCTAATCTTTTCGATGGTGAATTGAAACACTGTTTCCAAGCAAGCAAACGCATGGCCTCAGTTCCCTCACTGAATATAAAAATTCTCAGGCAAGCCATTTGATGTAAAAATAATGGCTATTCCAAAAGGCCATTCTTATAAGCTGTAAGACATTTATGACTAAGCTATGTGTGAAAAGATTTCAACTTGAACACACACTAAGTGGAATGTGCTATTTCTATCAAGGTATTTTAAGCTGTAGTAATGTCTGACTTAATTCTTTTTACATGTTGATGGCTTTCCAGGGGCTCTGCCAGTTCTCCTGGCTGCCTTCTGCATCAGTACGCTCAGGGTAGAAGTGGTAGTGTGTATCTTTCCTCAAACAAGCAGAAATAAAAGTAAAAGTTGTCAAAGGCTTAGAGTTAACACGCTGTCTTTGGAGGTCACTGCCTCTGCATAGCCTGAGGGTCTTTGTTCCAAGGAGTTCCTTCTGAAGGAGATGCACGAACCTGAAGTTCTTGGTGCTCCCCGCGATTGGAACCACTCACACGTGTTGGCTCCAAGTTTGATCCCAGAAAGGGTGAGCACAGGGAACCCCCAAGCAGACCGTCATGCTGTGCATCCCTCACTGGCAATGTGACTCCACGGAAACAGCAAGGATTTGGAGATCAGAGATGTGGGCTCCAACCCAGGTCGCCTCATGTGTGAAGTTGGGAAAATGAGAGCCTTAGCAGAGGACTGTGGGGATTCAATGGCAGCAAGCTTCTAGCACGGGCCTGCTCTGACAGGTAGCAGTGAAGATCCTTTTTGTTGATAAAAAGAGTCAAACTCTGTAAAATATTGGAAGAGATTTATTCTGAGCCAAAGATAGTGACTGTTGCCTATGACACAGCCCTCAGGGGGTCCTCAGAACGTGCGCCCAGGGTGGTCAGGGTGCAGCTTGGTTCTATACATTTTAGGGAGGCAGGAGACATCAATCAAATACATTCAGAAAAGACATTGATTTAGTTCAAAAGGGTGGGACTGGTTATAGTTTCAATTTTCTGGTTAACAACTGGTTGAGTTCACTTACCTGAGATCAACAGAAAGGAAATGTCTGGGTAAGAGGCTGGGGAGACCGAAGGGTTTTCCTGCAGACAAGCGTCCAGGTAGCAGCCTTCTGGAGAAGGATTGTAAATGTTTCTGACAGTGCTGAGGTTATGGCTGGAGGGTGTAATGAGGCCTGTCCCGCCCCCGCTTCCCATCATGGACTGAACCAGCCTTCCAGGTCACTTGTTAGAGCACCCTGGCTGACGAGGAAGGCCACGGAGATGGTTGAGGGGCCTTCAAGATGTATTTTTGGTTTACAGCTTCTTTGTTCCTTCTGCAGTGACTCTGACCACACTTTGATTTACTGCAGCTGTTCTCAGATGTGATTCTCTCTTGAACCCCACAGACGTTTTACTGATTTTCTGCTGTGATAACCAGTTTTCTTGGCAGCTGAGTTCCCAGTTCCTAAGCACCGTGATCCCCATGCTCTGTGTTCTGTAACCAGGACCAGACTTCCCACATGCCCAACACCCACGTAGTTATTCAGAGCTTTATTCTTACCTGCAAGCATAGATTGGAAAATTAAAAAAAAAAAAAAATCTTTCAGGTTATCACCCTTTTTCAGTCATGTAGAGTTTTAGGGTGTTGGTAGAGGTGATCCCCAAAATGTTTTTAAAGACAATAAACAACCCTTATGTTTTCTTTCCTTTTCATTTTTTTTTTCAGTTCTCCGGGATTTGATTTGTTGCTTTGTAAAAATACCTGCTGGAGGTAATTCGAGAGGTCTTTTAACTGATAAACGGATGACTTTCAAATTGAGATCTTAAAAACCTGAGTGAATATGCAAGAAAATGAACTGTTATTTGATATTTTCTCTTCCTTGTTTGCCATAATTATTTAGGCTTCTCTGGTAAAAATAAGTGGATATTTTTGGTAACTACTTATATGTACTTTTCAGCTTGATTTAGTATAGCACTTAAATGAACGCTTTAGCCGGCTTTCATTTTGGGTGTAGAAGTTAATTATTCAGCCTTTCTGATAGCAAAACAGGAAGAATACAATAACATGAAAATCAGATTTAAATGACACATTGTCAAAGCAATAAATTTCCTTGGTTATTTATTGCTACAAAATCTGATAAATTTGGTGAGTTAAAACAGTAATTGGAACAAAAATTCTATATGTAAATTTCAGTGAATTTGGTGTGTATCAAGTTTATAAGGTTAATTAGAATATACGCTCTTCAGCCTATAGCTTCCCTTGGATGAGGTATAGTTACAGTGCTTGCTGAGTATTTTATCATAACTAAATAATATGTTGCCATTTTGTGGAGTAAATCTGTTGAAGGAATGGTCAGATACTAAATCACCGTAGGAGGCTGAGGGGTGAAAGTATCACTGTGTAACAATTTTCATGTATTTAAGTGATAATGCCACTTATTTTACCCAATCTAAGTATTACAGTTTAATTTACTATAGTCACATAATAAGTAGAAAAAGCAAAGCTAATTAGCCTTGGATAACGTCCCTTTCATACACTAAGTGGCATGGAATGAGGAGGGCTGGATTGGCATGGGGGCTGCCGCAGCATCCACTAAATTCCAGGTTCTGGAAGGAGTTAGAGAGAAGCAGCAAACCCTTACTGTTCGGAACCCTGGAAATCTGAGACAGGTCTCAGTTAATGTGGGAAGTTTATTTTGCCAAGATTGAGGATGTGGGCCCATGACACAGCCTCAGGAGGTGCCAATGACATGTGCCCAAGGTAGGCAGGTTGCTTTTATGCATTTTAGGGAGAGACGAAACATCAATCAACATGTGTAAGATGAACGTTGGTTCCGTCCAGAAAAGTGGGACAACTCAAAGCAAAGGCAGAACTACTCGAAGTGAGGAAGGAGTTTCCAGGGCATAGGTAGATAAGACACAAAGGGTTGCCATCTTCCAAGCTGCTGAGTCGCCTCTCCAAAGGAGGAATCGGATTTGCATTTATCTAAGTGAGCGGAAGGGTGGCTGAATAGAATGGGAGGCAGGTTTGCCCTAAGCGGTTCCCAGTGGACTTTTCCCTTTAGCTTAGTGATGTGGGGGCCCCAAGACGCATTTTCCTTTAACACTGTGGGTGCCGGAGGACCGCACGGTCGCCAAAGGGTTAGCTTCCTCGTGGCATCTTGCTGCACTACCCTCATCTTCCCCCAAGCCAGGCGTGTTTCTGTTTTTTAAAGTAACGATGGAAGACAGATTCACAAATAATAAAATATACTTTGTTTGTACTGCAGTGGATTCTGGCCAGTATAAACAATGGTATATTGTGACCAGATCGAGGGGCCTGACAACGAGTCGTCCTCGTTCTCCACACGTTGAACACAGAATTGAACAGCACGCGAGCGCGAACAACGAAAGCAGAGATTTATTAAAGCAAAAGACAACAGAAGCAGAGACGCATAAAGGCCACAGGATGGGGGAGCCTCAAGCAAGGGGCCCAAGAGCTCTGGTTACAAAATTATCTGGGGTTTAAATACCCTCTAGAGGTTTTCCATTGGTTAAACTTTATGTAAACGATGGATTGAAGTGGGGCTTTGGCTCACTGCCAATCAGAGGCTGAAATAGATTGGCACGTTATGCAAATGAAGAATTTCCCACTCTTGCCCTGTGGCCAGTCAGAGTTTGAAGTGAATTAGCGCATTATGCAAATGAAGGATTGATCCGTGCTTGCCCTGTGGCCAATCAGAGGTACTCTCCGTTTTTCAGTGGGAGAGGTTGGTGTAGAGGGAGTAGCCTCTGATCCTTTGTCATTTAGGCGTGAAGAGGTGGGGTTTTCTGATGCAGTTCTAGGAAGTCAGAGCCGATCGCCCTCAGGTTCCCTGCCTCCAGACCCTATTCCCTTGACTCATAGTCACCATACCATGAAGACACAGCACAGTCCCGTCCTCCCAGTGGCCTCTCCCAGTCCATCCCCTCCACCAAGCCCAAGGCAACCACTGTCTATAAACGGATTTGGTGAGTCCTTCCTAGGTTTCACAGAAATTGAAATACACATTATTGTAGTTTTTTGGTCTGGCTTCCTTTGTTCAGTACAATGTTTCTGAGCTAATCCACCTTTTTGTTGACATCAATAATTTATGAATTTTAATTGCCGCATTGTACTGCATCATACGGGCACACGGCACTTTGTGTGTTCATTCACTGCTGATGGGCATATGGATTATTTCCAGCTGTTGTCCATTATCAATAAAACTCCATGATCATTCCCATGAAAGCCTTTTGTGGGCATACATTGTCACCTCTTCTTTGTAAATACCTAGTTGTAGAATTTCCGGGTCGTCAGGAAAGTGCATGCTTAACCCTAAAAAGCCTGCTCGATTGCTGTTGAAAGTGGTTATACCGTTTCACATCCCCACCAGCAAAGAGAAGGCCTTTCAGCTGCCAAAAATCGTCTTCACTATTGAAAGACTGTTAGCAGCTGCTTGAATTAGACATATTTCAGTCATTATGGCTCCAACACTTATTCATTGATGACTTCAGATGCTCAACATCTTTCCATGTGCTTATGACAGTTGGTCCTTCTGGAAAGTATCTGTTTGAATATTTTCCTCGTTTTTCATTGCTTTGTTTATCACGTCGAGTTGCAAGTGCTGTCTACATGGCTGGCCACAGGCTACTGATTTATGTCGCTTGCCTTTTCATCCCTTTCATTTTTTCAAGAGCAGAAACTTTTAGCTCTGATAAAGTTCAATTTATCACATTTTTCTTCTATTATACATTTATTTTGTTTCCTGTTGAGAAATAACCACAAAGTCTCAAGTAATTTTTTTCGTAATTCTCTGACATTCATCGTTTTTGCTTTTATGCTTAGTTCTACAATACGTTTTTTTTTGAGACAGCCTTGATCTGTCGCCCAGTCTGGCATGATCTCAGCCCGCTGCAATCTCTGCCTCCTGGGTTCAAGTGATTCTTGTGCCTTAGTCTCTCAAATAGCTGGGATTATAGGAGAATATCACCATGCCTGGATAATATTTTATATTTTTAGTAGAGGCTGGATTTCACTGTGTTGGCCAGGTTGGTCTGGAACTCCTGGCCTCAAGCGATCGCTCACCTCAGTGTCCCAAAGTGCTGGGATTACAGGCGTGAGCCGTAGCCAGCCAGCAAGGTATTCCCAACTGATATTTGTCATGTGTGTGAGATGCAAGTGTTGAGATGTAAATGTCGAAGTGTTTTCCCCGCATTTTAGTTCAGTCATTCCAACATCCTTTGCTAGAAACACTCATTTCTCTCATTGATTAGTACTGCCAAACTCATCAAAAAGTCAACGGCCATATGCGTGTAAGTCCATTTCTGAATGCTCTGCTCTGTGCTTAGATAAATATGTCTATCTTGTCATATCCCACTCCCTTCATTTTTGTATATTTATGCAATTTTTGAAATCAGATGGTGAAACACGGATTTTTAAAGTTTTTTTTTGACACTTTAGATCCTTTGTATTCTCATGTAATTTTACAATCAGCTTGTCGATTTCTAAAAAAAAAGACTTTGGGGAATGTTAAATAAAATTGTTTGGAGTCTGTCAATATCTCATTAAGCAAAGTTACCACTATAATAACATCGAGCCTTTTGATTTATGAACATCTCTCTCTCCATTTATTCAGATCTTCGTTAATTCAGTCTCCCAGAAGTCATTTTCGGATGCCAATTTGTAGATCTTGCTTATATTTTAGGCTTATCTTTAAGCATGTCATATTTTGATGCTACTGTAAACGGGACTTCAACTTCAAATTTCCATTTTTAATAGTCTGTGGGAATAAGTGATATTTATCTTATGTTTCTGTTTTGAAATGGAGTCTAGCTGTGTCACCCAGGCTGGAGTGCAGTGGCTCCATCTTGCTCACTCCAGCCTCCCCTCCTGGGTTCAAGTGATTCTCCCACCTCAGCCTCCTGAGTAGCTGGGACCACAGGCATGTGTCACCAAGCACAGCTGATATTTACATTGTTATTTGTTGCTCAGAAATCTTGCTAAGTACACTAGTTAGTTCTAGTCTCTATTTCATAGAGTCTTTAGGATTTCCCATGCCCATGATCATACCATTTGTTTCACTAGTTCTTTTCCAATGTATATGCCCTTTGTCCCTTGTTTCTGCCTTATTACATGGACTACGATCTGGAATTTTTGGTTAAAAAGTTTTCAGTTTTGTTTTCTAGTATGTAAAGGTTTTTTAGGTCTTCTATTTTTTCTTAAGACAACTCTGGCAATTTATGTCTTTCTAGGAATTTATCCATTTAACATCAAATTAGTGTGAAATTATACATAAAATTCCTTTATTATTCTCTTAAATCTGTAGAATCTTCAGAAAGTCTTCCTTTCACCTCTATTCTCAGTGGAGTGATTCTTCCCTCATTTATTATTATTCAGTCTGGCTAGAGTTTTAAAGATTGTATTGATCTTTTTGGACCAGTTTTGGATGATTTTCTGTTTCAGTGATGTGGGTTGTCTTCCTTTTCTCTTTCTCTGTCTATTTTCTGTTTCAGTGATGTGGGTTGTCTTCCTTTTCTCTTTCTCTGTCTATTTTCTGTTTCAGTGATGTGGGTTGTCTTCCTTTTCTCTTTCTCTGTCTATTTTCTGTTTCAGTGATGTGGGTTGTCTTCCTTTTCTCTTTCTCTGTCTATTTTCTGTTTCAGTGATGTGGGTTGTCTTCCTTTTCTCTTTCTCTGTCTATTTTCTGTTTCAGTGATGTGGGTTGCCTTCCTTTTCTCTTTCTCTATTTTTTGTTTCAGTGATGTGGACTGCCTTCCTTTTCTCTTTCTCTGTCTATTTTTTGTTTCAGTGATGTGGACTGCCTTCCTTTTCTCTTTCTCTGTCTATTTTCTGTTTCAGTGATGTGGACTGCCTTCCTTTTCTCTTTCTCTGTCTATTTTCTGTTTCAGTGATGTGGGTTGTCTTCCTTTTCTCTTTCTCTGTCTATTTTCTGTTTCAGTGATGTGGGTTGTCTTCCTTTTCTCTTTCATTGTATTTACTTCATGTGCTCTGATCCTCCTTTTCAGGTTCTTGAAGACATTTTTATCATGACTTTCACATAAGCACTTCAAGTACGGTAGTACCTCTAAGCATTTCCTCATTTATAGTTCAAACTTTTTATACTTTTGTTTTATTTTTATTAGTTTTTAAAATGTGTTCCCTGTGGCTTATTTTTTTTGTCCCATGGGTTACTTTAAAAAGCTGTCAGCTCATTTCCAAATATTTAATGGTTTTATGGATATTTCTGTGATTGATTTCTAATTATTTGCATTATGATGAATAAATATACTCTGTACAATTTTAAGCATTTAAAAAATGTTTTGAGATTTATTTTGTGGCTAAAATGTATGGCCTTTCCTTTTTCCAAAAAATGAAGGTATAATATTTTATTTTATTCTTCTTTTTTAAATGTTTATTTCAGGCTCAGGGGGTACATGTGCAGATTTGTTCTAAAGAAAATTGCATGTCACAAGGGTTTGATGTACGGATTACTTCATCATCCAGGTAATAAGCATGGTACCCACTAGGGCGTGTTTGGATCCTCACACTCCTCTCACCCTCCACCCTCAAGTAGGCCCCAGGGTCTGTGGGCCCTTCTTTGTGTCTGCATGCACTCAAAGTTTAGTTCCTACTTATGAGTGAGAGCATGTGATATTTGGTTTTCTGTTTCTGCATTAATTTGTTTAGATTAATGGCCTCCAGTTTCATTCATGTTGCTGCAAAAACGTGATCTCATTCTTTTATGGCTGCATAGTATTCCACAGTGTGTATGTATCACATTTTTAAAAATCCGGTCTATCATTGATGGGCCATTTAGGTTGGTTCCATGTCTGCTATTGTGAATAGTGCTTCAGGGAATATATGGGTACCTGCATCTTTGTGGTAGAATGATTTATATATGCTCAATAATGGGATTGCTGGGTGGAATGGTAGTTCTGTTTTAAGTTCTTTGAAAAATCCCCAAATTGCTTTTCCCAGTGGCTAAACTAATTTACATTTCCAACAGCAGTGTATAAGTATTCTCTTTTATCCATAACCTCAGCAGCATCTGTTATTATTTTTTTTTTTTTACTTTTTAATAGTAGCCATTCTGACTGGTGTCCGATGGAATCTCGTTGTGGTTTTGATTTGCATTTCACTAATAATCAGTGATCTTGAGCAATTTCTCATATGCTTATTGGCCACATATATGTGTTCTTTTGAAAAGTGTCTATTCATGTTATTTGCCAACTTTTTCATGGGGTTGTTTTTTGCTTGTGAGTTTAAGTTCCTTATAGATTCTAAATATTAGATCTTTGTCAGATACATAGCTTACAAATACTTTTTCCCATCCTGTAGTTGTTTGTTTGCTCTGTTTGTAGTTTATTTTGCTGTGGAGAAGCTCTTTAATCAGATTCCATTTGTCAATTTTTGTTCTTGTTGCAATTGCTTTTGTCATCTTCATCATTAACTCTTTGCAGGTCCTATCTCCAGAATGGTATTTCTTAGGTTCTTTTCCAGGGTTTTTATAGTTTTAGGTTAATCTGTCTTGAATTGTTTTTGTATATGGTAAAAGGAAGGGGTCCAGTTTCAATCTCCTGCACATGGCCAGCCAGTTAATTCAGCACTGTTTGCTGAATAGGGAGTTCTTTCCCGATTGCTTGTTTTTGTTTATTTTGCCAAAGGTCGGATGGTTGCAGGTATGCAGCATTATTTCTGAGCTCTCTATTCTGTTCCATTGGTCTCTGTGTCTGTTTTTATACCAGTACCCTGTTGTTTTGATCACTGTTTGATCACTGCAGCCTTGTAGTATCATTTGAAGTTCGGTAACATGGAGCCTTCAGCTTTGTTCTTTTTGCTAAGGATTGCCATGCTATTCAGGCTCCTATTTCATATACATTTTAAGCTAGTTTTTTTCTAATTCAATGAAGAATGTCATTGATAGTTTGATAGGAGTAGCATTGACTCTGTAAATTGATTTGGGCAATAGGGTCATTTTAGTGATTTGATTCTCCCTATCCAGGAGCTTGGGATGTTTTTCCATTGGTTTGTGTTGTCTCTGATTTCTTTGAATCGTGTTTTGTAGTTCTCCTTGTAGAAATCTTTCACCTCTTTGCTTAACTGTATTTCTAGGTGTTTTAGTATTTTTGTGGCTATTTTGAATGGGATTGTGTTCTCGATTTGGCACTCAGCTTGGATGTTTTTGGTGTACAGAAATACTACTGAATTTTTCTACACTAAATTTTTATCCTGAAACTTTGATCAATTTGTTTATCAGATTCAGGAACTTTAGACAGGGATTATGAGGTTTTCTAGGTATAAAATTATATCATCTGAAAACAGGAACAGTTTGACTTCCTCTCTTCTTATTTGGATACCTTTTATTTCTCCCTCTTGCCTGATTGCTCTGGGTAGAGCTTCCAGTACTATGTTGAATAGATGTGGCCTTCCTGGTCTTGTTCCTGTTTTCAAGAGGAATGCCTCCAGCTTTTACCTGTTCAGTATGATGTTGGCTGTGAGTTTTTGATAGGTGATATGATTTGTCTGTGTCCCCACCCAGATCTCATCTTGAATTGTAGTTCCCATAATCCCCACATGTTGTGGGAGAGACTGGGTGGGAGGTAATTGAATCATGGGAGCAGTTACCTCCATGCTGTTTTTGTGATTGTGAGTGAGTTCTCAAAAGATCTGATGGCTTTGTAAGGGACTTTTCCCCCTTTGCTTAGCACTTCTGTCTTCTGCTGCCATGTGAAGAAGGATGTGTTTGCTTCCCCTTCCGCTGACTGTATGTTTCCTGAGGCCTTCCCAGCCATGCAGAACTGTGAGTGAATGAAACCTCTTTCCTTTGTAAATAACCCTGTCTCCGTATGACTTTATTAGCAATGTGAGAATGGACAGGTGGCTTTTATTATCCTGAGGCATGTTTCTTTAATGCCTAGTTTGTTAAAGGTTTTTTAACATTAAGGGATGTTGAATTTCACCCAAAACGTTTTATGCATCCATTGAGATGATCACGTGGTTTTTGTTCTTTGTTCTTTTTATGTGGTGAATCACATGTATTGATTTGAGTATGCCGAACCATCCTTTCTTTGTATCCGTGGGATAAATCCTACTCGATTGTGGTGGATTACCTTTTTGATATTCTGCTTTATTTGGTTTGCTAGTATTTTGTTTTGTATCTATGTTCATCAAGGATGTTGGCTGATGTTTTCTTTTTTGATTGTGTCTCTGCCAGGTTTTGGTATCAGAATGATGCCAGCTTCATAGAATGACTTAGGGAGGAGTCTCTCCTCGATTTTAAAAAATAATTTAGGTAGGAACTGTGTAATCTCTTCCTTATACATCTGGTAAAATTTGACTGTGAATCCAGCTTGTCCTGAGATTTTTCTGGTTGGTGGACTTTTTATTGCTGATTTAATTTTAGAACTCATTATTGGTCCGTTCAGGGATTCAATTATTTTGGGAGGGTGTTCAGTCTTGAGAGGTTACATGTTTCATGGAATATATCCATTTTTTTTCTAGGTTTTCCAGCTTGTGTGCATACAGGTGTTCATAATAGTTTCTGAGGCTTTTTTTCTACTTTTTTCTATTTCTGTGGGGTCAGTGATGATGTCCCTTTTGTCATTTCTGATTATGTTTATTTGCATTTCCTCTCTGTTTTTCTTCATTAGTCAAGATAGTGGTCCGTCCTATTAATTCTAAGAACCAGTATCTGAATTCAGTGATCTTTTGTGTTTTTTTTATCTCTATTTTCTTCAGTTCATTTTATTAATTTCTTGTCTTCTGCTGTCCTGGGAGTTGGCTTGCTTCTCTAGTTCCAGTGTTGATGATGTCAGGTTATTAATTTGAGATCTTTCTAACTTTTTGATATGCGTGTTTAGTGCTGTAAACATTCCTCTTAACACGGCTTTGGCTGTGTCCCACAGATTCTGGTATGCTGTATGTTTCTCATTAGTTTCAAAGAATTTCTTGATTTCTACCTTAGTTTCATTATTTATGCAGAAATCATTCAGGAACAGGTTGTTTAATTTCCATGTAATTGGGGGGTTTTAGGTGATTTTCTTAGCATTGATTTTTATTTTTATTACACTGTGGCCTGAAAGTGTGGTTGGTATGATTTTAATTATTATTTTTTTAAATTTGCTAGGATTGTTTTATGCCTGATTGTGTGGTTGACTTTAGAGTATGTTTCATGTGCAGATGAGAAAAAGGTATGTTGTGTTGTTTTTGGGTAGAGAGCGCTGTAGATGTCTATTAGGTCTATTTGGTCATGTTGAGTTCAGATCCCAAATATCTTCCTTAGTTTTCTGCCTTCACAATCTGTTTAATACTGTCAGTGGGGTGTTTAAGTCTCCCACTATTATTGTGTGGTCCTCTAAGTCTCTTTGCAGGTCTCTAAGACCTTGCTTTATAAATCTGGGTGCTCCTGTATTGGGTGCATATATATATTTAGGATAGTTAGGTCCTCTTTTTGAATTGGACCCTTTACCATTATGTAATGCTCTTCTTCTTCTTTTTTTTTTTTTTTAACTTTTATGGGTTTAAAGTCTGTTTTTCTCTGAAATTAGAATAGTAAACCCTGCCTCTTTATGTTCTCTGCTTCATAGATTTTTTTTTCCATCCCTTTACTTTGAGCCTAGGTGTGTCACTGCATGTGAAATAGGTCTCTGAAAAACCACACACAGTAGGGTTTTCCTTCTTTATCCAACTTGCTACTCTGTGTCTTTTGATTTGGGCATTAAGCTGGTTCACATTCAAGGTTAGTATTGATATGTGCAGATTTGATCCCATCATCATGTTGTTAGCTGGTAATTATATAGCCTTTTATGTGTGGCTGCTTTATAGTGTCATGGTCTATGTACTTGTGTGTTTTTATAGTGACCAGTAATGGTCTTTCCTTTCCCTATTTAGCACTCCCTTCAGGGTCTCTGGTAAGATAGGTCTGGTGGTAATGAATTTCCTGAACATTTGCTTGTGTGAAAAGAATCTTATTTCTCCTTCACTTATTCAGCGTAGTCTCACTGGATATAAAATTCTTGGTTGAAAACCCTTTTTTTTTTTTAATTGTACTTTAAGTTTTCTTTAAGAATACTAAATTTAAGCTGCCAGTCTCTTCTGGCTTGTATGGTCTCTGCTGACAGGTCTACTATTAGCCTGATGGAGTTCCTTTGTAGGTGACCTGCCCCTTCTCTCTACCTGCCTTTCCCTTTTTTTCCTTTCAT